TATAGGGTAGAATAATGGCAGTTTTTTTTTCTGTTATTTACCTATTATTCACTCTTTATTCATTTGTTCGACCTGTGTCAAAATTTTGTTCATGAAACTGTCTTCTGCATATTACCAAAAAATTTTTCTTGCAAAATTTTGATATAATTATTACCTTTTAAACCTAACCTACTTGTAATGCCCTAACTAGTGTTGTTAGTTAAAATTATTTAAACATTTAGAAAATTGAATTTAGGCAATTTTGACTGTCATTTTTTAAAAAATTATTATTAAAAAATAAATAAAAATTTAGACATTTAGACAAATTAATTTAAACGACATTGACAAAAACAATTTTGCCTACGTAACAACATTAGCCCTACCCTAACCTAATAGCAAAAATGTTTTTTCTTAACAATAAGATCACATGATTTGCAAATCATATGAAATTAGTAAACTTAAAAAAGATAGCAAAATCCCAGTGTCGATCGAAACAAACGTTCGTTTTGTCAAAAATCGCTTATCGTTATTTCTCAAAAATCTATTCATAAAAATCTACTTTTAGTATGAACTAATCCAGAATTTACATTATTATCCCTGTACAAACATAGTCATAATACATCTTTTTTTTTATAAATGAACGATAGTGATAGTAAAATATATAATAAAATTCAAACCGCAATAACTCTTGAACTAGCAAACCCACACAAATAAAATTATACTAGTCGGGTTTGTTTTAACATACTTTTTAAAGTAAATAACGCACCCTTTTTTTGTTTTCTTATCAAATATCCGATATTTTTTTCTTAAACTGAAACCGCTATAAGAAAGTCGTTGTGGTGTAACAGTGCAAACAGAAATTTCATTGTTACGTTTTTGATTTTTTATTAAAAATGAGAACTCGCATAAAATTTGAGTCTTACGTCACACTCTAGAAAATAAAAATAAACAAAACAGCGTTATTACTTCAAAGAGCATGTTAAAACGAACTCGACGAATGTAATTTTATTTATGCGAGATTTCTGGTTAAAGAGTTATTGCAGTTTAATTTTATATGCTTTTATAAAAAAAATTTTGAGAATTACTATATGAACTGAACTATGTAAAAAATCTACAGATTGTGTACACCCAAACCGTTTATCAAAACCCATAATACAATATCGAATATATAAATTTTTCGTCTCAGCATAGCTTTGACAAATGTTAATAATATCTTGGTTGTTTGAAATTACAACTCAGAGTTACAATCCAGTCAATAAATTCTTGATCATATCAAACCTTTTTCTATTAGCACTTACTTGTGTAATGTATTTATTATGAAGCTGAGTGGATTTTAAAAGCTGTTTAAAAGTCTTATGTTTCATATTTCATATTATTATATGAAGATATTAAATTTGTGTGGTCTAATTTCTCTGGAACGAAATAATTCGCCAGTGTAAAGTAATTTCGTCCGTGCGAAATATTTCGGATTCTTCAGAAACACTAGCACTAGTATAAATGTCGGTCTTCTATTCTCCTGATTTAGGGTTTCACATCTTCACCATATTTAATAAATACCGTGTTTAGCATCCGATTGATTAAAAACAATCTGGTTTCGACAGGATTGAAAATTGTGTTGATAATCAAATCTCGATTCTTCTACACAACACGTGTACGAGATGTAATTATTTTGCCGCGTATATGCAACTATTCAACGCCAAATTTTCAATAACAATAACGCTTAAAAAATTTTGTATGTTATCTCTTTTCTTTCACAATAACTTTTATTCAGGGTTGCTCGATGTTTATGAGAAAGATCGAATGATATCAAAAATTTTCGTGATCGATTATGATCAGATGTAATGAAGGCGCAAAAATCCTTATTTAGCAGTCTGTCAAAGCCACTAATATCAACTATCGTTATTGTGATTTATGTTACGTACTCTAATTAATAAGGTCCAACTTGTACTTTTAACCATTCCTTTAAAAAAAAAATGTCTAACGAAACAAATCCGTTCCTTCCTAAAGACGAAAAAGGTATTTCCTATCAATTAACATTCATGACTTTTAAGCTAATTCGAATCATATTATACTGGCAGGTGATAATGAACCAGATAGTTCATCGGTTAAGGATCATAGCGTATCGTTGGGTAGTGCCGGTGTCGCAAACCCTGGGATTGAAACACATGATCCAGAGAAATTAAAAATCACTCACAAGGAGAAGAAACACGTACCAAGTGGGAAAAGATGTTGTCTCAGATTTATAACATTGTTGGCCAGTATTGGAGCTGAATTTTTCAACATCAGTGCACCCCTCGTACGTACTTGATTTTTAAAAAAAGCAAATTTTTTTTTTTAGCAATAGACTAACAATATTTATACTTCACGTGACAGGTTTCGAAAGAACAAGCACCTGAAGGCGCAAATCAATTAGCAATAATATTTTTGCACATAGTCTCCTCAATATCAGTTCTAGTTTCGGCATATTTCATTTTGCTTTATTGTTTTCGTAGATGTGGCAATGCAGAAAAACTTCACAGGCTCTTATTACATTTAATTGATTTAACATTCGCAATATGTTTTGGTGTTTTAATGGTTTTCATGATTGGAGATTTTAGATGCCAAATTGGGACTTTGAATGGGTGGTAAGTAACTTTTTATTTTCTTTTGAAAGTTGATATTTAGTACTAATATTATTTTTAAAATTAGGTGTGATATGTACAACACCAGCGTTGCTTTCACGGTGCTTTGTTGCTTCCTGTATATAGTCTCGTTTATTTGGGATATATGTGGTACCTTTTCGAAAAGAAAATATTGATAGTGTATTTATAGATTTACATATACGAGAAATTTTGTTATATAGTACAGTATAATATTATAAATATTAACCTTACATATCTTTTGTACAATAACTATGGGTATTTGAAATGAATGATGGTGGGCTTTGTTATTAATCAAGTTCATTGTTCTGACAACAGTGAAATTTACGGCTTTTAGTTACGTATTTCGTTATGTATATCTCCCTTTTATTGTAGTTCATTTCTACTGTGTCAAGTTTTGATACATTTAAAATTAGGCCACATTCTTCAAATGATATAAAAGTTTTTTATAAAACAACCACTGCAGCCTACTGTAGTCTAATGCGTAAAATACGTAAATTGTCGTTAAACGACATTATGATTGGGCAAAGTCAATAGAAATATTTTTAAGCGATTTTAGATATTGATGGTTCTTCAAACCTCTACAATTGTACCCTCTATAACGCACTGACATGGTCCCAAGCTTATAGAACTATAGAAAAATAACTCTCACCCCCTCTAAATGACCTTTTTTTTTAAAAAAAAAAACTGGTTATGGTCGAAGGAGTGCAATTATATATAGAGGTTGACTATATATGCTACCGAAAGGTTTTATTATTTAAAACATCCAAGAATCACTTTTTTTCCTTTAAAGGATTCCTTTGGGCATTAATTTCAATAGTGAAAATATTTTAATTTTCAATAAATATAATACTTTCGTAACCAATAGTCTAAATAGGCCAAAATAATTTAAATTTATAGAGTATATATATAAACCTTTAATAATATCAAAATATAAATAACTCAAAAGAATACAGCTATAATATTTAATTTTAAACGAAAAATAATCATCTTCAGCTTGATATTTTTGAGAAATTGATATCTTAGTTTTTTAAAAAATTTACTAGCTGTAAAACCTTGTGAAATAACTTCTTTTAGAATATAAACATATTTTTGAAAATTAAATAAGATAATAATTAAAACTATAACCTAATTTAATAATAACAATTAAAAAGTATAATACATGTCATCTTATCTAAAAGTGTGTGATGGTTGGTCATTATTACAAGAATATTAGTAAAAATTCTATAATTTTATTAAATATTTTCTTTTTTTAATTCAACTTTTTTTATTTATAGTAAATTCAATGAATCTTGATGCATTCATTTTTTTGACAACATCAAAGTAAACAATCTTTAATGAAATTACAGGTTAGATAAATGCTAATTAGAAGAGCCAAAATCCTATTATATCTTTAAAAAGTTATTCTTTAAATTGTAACAGGCAAATTTGTTTATTTGTTTGTTTTTTTTGTATTAAAGCAGCAATCTTGCCTGTCTGTCTTTATTGAGTAATATATCGTTATATAATTATATACAAAGTTTATCAATAAAAGTACAACTAATCATATGTATAACTTTAGTTATTATCTAATTAAGGGGTTTCATCTAAGGGTTACCTATTAGCTGTCATACCTGAGATCTGTCTGTGAATCCTCTATTTAAACTTTCTGGTTTCAATCCTATTGCATATATGCAACACTTATGTTACCACATGGACATACTAGGTTAGAGTTATCTAATTACTATTTATATCAAGGTATCATCATATTAGATATTACCAGATATCCATAGTTCCTCAAATTTACTCTTGACACAAACTTACTAAGTATGATATCAAGATTACCTCTTAGATTTATCCAATTTTAGTAGATCATATATCTATTAGAATCAGTTTAGTGTCAGAAGTGTTTGAATTTTAATAAATCTATTTCTTTCCTATAGTTTTTTTTTATGTTCACTATATCATCTACTAATGCACTTTTTCTTCATTTCTGGTATATTCCTTATTTCTCTTACATCGAGCATCAACTCTCCATATTGAAAAACTTCTTTTCAAAAACTTCCTTATATACTGATCTTCTAATCACATAGACTTGACCACAGAGCTTTGTATATATTCATATGCTTTCGTAAATTATAGAGTTTTTATCTTCAGCTTGAATTAAACCATTGACCTTGTTTATAGAGAAAGAGGTGTCTAGATCACTAGGCTATAGGACCCCATCCTCTGCCAAATTTGTTTATGTTAATTTTTTTAAAATTAAATTTATAATAAAATTTTAATGATTAATTTTAGCAATATATTTTCAAAATAAAAAATATTTTTAAAAACCTACTTTATAAATTCTATTAAAAAATTTTTTTAATTTTATTAAAAAATTTTAATTAATTAAAATTTAAAAATTATATAAAATTAGAGTTTATTATTAAAATATTTTTTAGAGTTTCTAAAATTTTAGATGTTTTTAAAGTTAAAAAATTTTTGTTCTTAAGACAAGTATTAATTTTTATATATAAATTACTAAACTTATAATAATTAAAATTATAATCAGGGGTGTGGTGACCTAGTGAAGTGGTCAGGTTGTCAACCCTCCAAGTGGTAGGTTGGGTGTTCAAATCCCATCGAT